TTCTTTTACATCCACCCAGCTCATATTAAAGATTAATTCGCGAAAAATTAAATATCTTCTTCCTCTTTTTCTGTTATACACTTACCTAGGGGCCGTTCACTTATTACGTTATGCAAAAAAACGACTTTTTTCACCCCCCCCCCCCCACTTTGCTACAATTTTTCACCCCCCCCCCCCCCTAAAATGCGAACGTAATAAGTGAACGGCTCCTTAGGAAGTCATGTGCAGATTCTATTTAAAAAACGAAATTGCTCTCCTTAGTTTTAAAGTTGAAATCGATAAAAATAAATTGACTGCTGAATTGTAAACTAAAAATATCACTTTAAAGGAAGCTTTTCTTCTTATTTTGCTCTCAGTTTCAGTTTGATTTTCAATTTTGTTGTTGTTTTTTTTTTTTGGTCATTCTTTGGACATGTGGAAATAAGTTTGGATTTTTTTTTGGAACATTTAAATTAATTTAATCTAGGGGTGGTCCTTATTTTTGTGTTCAGAAATCAAAAGGTCCCTTTTTTCCCTTACATTTCAAAATTTTGTATTTCTGAACGTACGTCATTAAAATAATTTTTAAAAGAAAATTGACATTTAATTGCATTTTATGAACAAATTAACGTCATAAACTGTACCTAGAACACTCAATTATAATGATTAAAGCTTAAGCAAGCTAGCAATCATAGTCTTTATAAAGAATGAGTTGAAATTAAGTTAATTTACATCAATGTTTATTTTTGAAAAATATATGATGGTATTAGTGAGCTTAAAATTTTTCAAATTTGTTCGAATTTAACGGTTTTTGACCGTTGAGATTTTTGTTCGCCTAACCTCAAACTATAGTTTTTCGAATTTGAAATGTCCAAAGAATGAATTCCTTTCTTTTTGCGTAAATCACAGCAAGAAAAACTGTGAAAAAATTTCTTTTTTTCTTCTATTTAAAAATAAATAAAAAGTCACTTACTTACTTACTCAAGCCCTAGCCAGCATTAAGAGAAGAGAAAGAAAAGAATAGTCAGTCACACGTAGTCAGAAGTCACAACAGAGCGTGAGTTATGTCTTTGATTTCATTTTCTTTCATGAGAAAATCACGAGTGATGACAATTTTTTTCATTCATAAACTTTTATTCTTGTCGTGTCTGTGTCTCTCTCGCCTTTTGCTTGTTAAGTCTCTTTTCCTTTTCTTTCTGCAACCTTAAAAATTCTTTCATTTCATTTCTTAAGACACAAAAATGTTTTTATTAATTAATTTATTATTTATTTTGAGAGATATTTCATCGTGTGACTCTTGTGTCGGCGATAACATTTTTGTTGTGTATACAATCAGAGTTAGCATGCCTGTTGCTGACAATTGCTGAAATTTTCAATTTATTATTTCAACACTCTGATGTGGGCTGGCTGCTTTTTTTTCGGTGGTTCAATAACTTTTGTTGTTGGATGACTTAAACCAGTTGTTCTCAAACACTAGTGTGCCGCGAAAAAGTTTCATAGCTTAAATTTGTCCTTTATTTTCATGTGTTATGTCTTCAAAAAGGTCATGAAAATCATTTAAAGTGAGTGGACACACAATTAGAAATTTTTATATTTTCCAAATTTCTCCCTTATTATTTCATGAAACCTATTAAAGTTACATATTTTTGGAAAGCTAATCAAATTTCCAATATGATGATTAGAAAATTTTTGGAAAATGTGCAAGTAATATAGTCACTTTGGGTAAAAAAACGCATTTCATATATGCAAGTTTTTAATGTTTTTCATTTTTCTCAGCAACGACTTTATGAAAAGCTTTCAAATTTTGCACACTCATTGCTTTTATAAATGCTAATAACTTGTATAAGTTTCAGAATTTTCCATTGAGTTTTTCACGAGTTTTCCTAACCTGAATTTTTCACTATTTAAATTAATTTTTCTCGATAACTGCGCATTGTTATTAGATGTTAATCATCTTATTTTCTTTCATTTTTCAATAGATTTCTATTGATATATAACAATCTAGGAAAAAGTATGAGACAAGAGAGAAATCAATAAAAAGTGTGAAAAATGTATCAAAATTTCCAAAATTCTCCGCCATCTTGAATTTATTTTCAGGAATACTCGTAAAAACTCAATGGAAAATTCTGAAACTTATACGAGTTATTAGCATTTATAAAAGCAATGAGTGTGCAAAATTTGAAAGCTTTTCATAAAGTCGTTGCTGAGAAAAACTAGTGTATCGGGTAGAAACCCAATGCGGATTATATTCACACCGTACTATCATAAGTCTTATGGATAGACCAAGATTTGCCCATCATAAGTATGAAGGTATGAAGCTTGATAAGTCAACTAAGCTTCGCTCAGCATAAGTTTGAAGTTATAAAGCTATCGCGTAAGCTGAGCTACGCTCAGCATAAGTTTGAAATTATAAAGCTAGAGTGTCAGCTGAGCTACGCTCAGCATAAGTTTGAAGATATGAAGCTAGAGAGGCAGCTGAGCTTCGCTCAGCATAAGTTTGAAGTTATAAAGCTATCGCGTAAGCTGAGCTACGCTCAGCATAAGTTTGAAGATATGAAGCTAGAGAGGCAGTGGAGCTTCGCTCAGCATAAGTTGAAGTTATAAAGCTATCGCGTAAGCTGAGCTACGCTCAGCATAAGTTTGAAGATATAAAGCTATCGAGTCAGCTGAGCTACGCTCAGCATAAGTTTGAAGGTATAAAGCTTGACGAATATGCCAAATATTCTTTAAAAGTTTTTTAAAAAAAATTTCATCCAAAGTTGAATTTTATAAAAATCACAGTCAACTTTTGTTTTAAAAAATTCGTAAGAAAGGAAAGTTTTTTGCCATTTCTGAAGCAACGGCTGTTCCTACCTTGCCCAAAAACAATACAGCTCTTCTATAGAGCAGCACGAATCAAATGTAAAAAACTAGAAGTCTCTACGATGTCTCGTTATTGAGATTTCTTGCTGATTAACTTGCTTGCTTGCTTGCTTGTTTGCTTACAGAAAGCGTATTTTGCGATTTTCTCAGCAATGCCACAACCAATTTGAAATCTGCTTTTTACAAAATGATGTAAAATTTCAGTTACAAACTTTTCATTTGCAAGCTTTTATAACCAATTTTGCTTTGTTTTCTCACAAAATGCAAAAAACTGATTTTTCAATCACAACAAGACCAAAAGATTCACACGTGAAATGTGTGAATATAAAAATTGTGTATGGAAGGAATTTAATTTTTGATTAGTATGCACTTGGCTAGCCTGCAAGCTACACAGATAAAAACAACTTGATTTACATCGCAATGATTTTTGTTTTTATATTTGCCTTTTAAGGACAGAATTTCTTAAACGATTTCAATTGAGGTTAAATTTATTGATGAGACATTAATTGGTTGTGTCAATTAATAAACGATAGTTCATTCACTTATGATGTCTTTCATTTAGAGGGGTGTGGGGTGGGAAGTGGTCTAGGATTTTTTGACAGTTCGAACTTAGTTCAAACGAAATGCTTGAGATTAAGAATCAATAAAAAATAGATCACCAACCCTGCAATATCTGAAATTTCAAACAAAATATTTTATTTCTTAAAAATTCCTTTAACAATCCTCAAGTGACACAGCAACTCTTACAATAGCATCAAAAATTTAAATGTCTTTCACAATTACTTACTTTGTTGCTCGCTGGCTTTTATTTTTCCTCAAAAAAATATGTTACTCTTTCATCATTTTGGCAAAATAATGAGGAAAATCGAGGCGAGAAAAAGGGAGTAGATGAAGAAGAAAAAAACAGGTCATGTCTGTAGTTTTTGTGTTATTTATAAAATAGTTTTCTTAATCGTGCGCAACTCGAGGCGATCCCATTAAAATGATCATGGATATATGTTAGTAATTTACATTGTTATACAAAGAGTTAAAGCAAAACAATAAGGAGATTAAGTCATCAGAATCAAGAAAATGATATGCACACTAGCAAAGCAATTCCATTATTATTATATATGCAAACCATGAATTAGTAAAATGACAACGATGATTGAATGTTTTAGGAATTTGTAAGCTTTTGACTTTAGAAAATAAATCACGTTCATTGTGCATTTTCTACATCTTCATATGGGCAATTCTTTGGATGACTTTTGGAAAATTTTCAGCAAAAAATCGAAATTTTATTGATTTTTCCCATCAGAGGCACTGATTTTATGATTCTTATCGATGTAAAAATCTAAAATGTACACTCCTTTTGATATCATATACTTCTAATCGCTGTATTAATTAAGTTATTTGGATTCTTTTGTCAATAACTCGATGACAGAAATCGGAATTTTCAATTTTCATCATCCGAAGAATCGAAAATTAGAGAAAACTATTGAAACTAACATTAAATAACTTTTACTGAGTTATAGAACAGACAAAAATCTTTAATTTGGTTGCTTTTCTGTGTGCTTTAAGTCAGTAATTAATGAAATATTTCATTTCTTTGAAAAATTTCCTTGTGTCATCGAGTTATAAAGAAGCTTTTTTTTTGTCTTAATCCGTGAAAAAATACAAAATTTTCAAACGTATTTTTTCAATTTTTCACTTAATTTGGGTGAGTTGTAACATTTCAATAGATCACTTGTAAAGAATTAATTATGCTTAATGATCTACGAAAGTTCTGGCTTATTATTCCTTCACAGTAATATGAAATTAAAGAAAACATTTTATTGACACAAAACTCATTGACATTGGATTATGAAAGCTCATTTTTTTCAAATTCCACTCATCCAAAGAATTGCCCATATGTGAGATTTATTAAGAATTATTTGATTGGAAGAATTTTGCTGCTAATTTTCATAACGGTCAAAAAATATTTGAATTTCGTTCAGCGACATCTTTTGGAATTCGTATGAAATAAATTTTTGAATTTTAAAAAACCGTTAAACTTAAAGTTGAGCTTTTGAGCTTAAAATATTTTAAAATTCAGTAAATACGTTAAATAATTAAGTTCAAATTTATTTAACTTTTTATTAAATTCTGATTTATCAGCTACAATTTTTGTTTGTTGTAAAGTTCTACTTTATTCAACTTGATAACAAGACAATTTATAGACAATTATTAATGAAAATTACTTTTATTGTTTGTAATTAAAGCACATTTAGAAAAAGGCATTTAAAAATTGTAAAAAAAAGGTTTTTTTGTTTTTAAGAAATTTTAAAAATTTCATTTCTTTTGGTTTTTTTTATTAAGTTTATTTATGAATTTATTAATATTTTTGACTTTAAAGTTTAAGGATGCATGTAGCTTAATATTAATTTAGTGGTTTTTTGAAAGTTTCCAATAATTCTCTTTTAGCCTTTTCAAATTTTACCATCCTCACTGCATCTTTTATTTTAATTTCGTGTTAATGTTTTTGTTTGTGTATAGAAAATTATTAACAAATAAAAAAATCTTTTATTTTGCTTAAAGTTTATTTATGGAATGCACTTAGGCCAGTGAGATTTCAGTTTTTAATATTATTAGAGTGTTCATTTACTATTTCTTCTAAAAAATTGAAATATGAATATTTTTTAACTACCATAAAAAGTTGAGGCAGCGTGAATTGTCACTACAAAAAAAAATATCTCTTTATTCTAGTTGATTAAATGATTGATGACGTTAAATAAATTTTTAAATCGCTTAATTTTTCTAAAATCATGTCCACCTTCTACAATTCCTAGATATTGCTCAGTTAAGACAACCAAATAAGCTAGGATCTCAGCACCAACTTAGTCAACATATCTTGATTTTATAATGTGAGAGGGTTCCAGCCATGCGATGTGTTACTACACGAGCAGTAGACACTGCGATCCTGATCGATGATAGAATCTATTGTACCGTGCAAGGAATATGAAAGACATTCATATATATAACCTCCAAAAGGATAAATTGCAATATGTATTACAGTTCTGTTCAAGCAAAGTTGTTAAACTGTCAGTCTATCCTACCAACCACTTCATCCCCTTTGTCACACAATTGTTTCTTTCGTTTAGTCAAGTCACTAATCGACAGACCTTCTTAAGTTTCATTCATGAGAGACCATTAAGCATCCTTTGGAATCGAACCTTAATCATTATAGTTCAGAACTATTAATTAAACATCTGTGTCACTGAAGATCTTCCAAACCCTCAACCCATCTAGTCTAATTCTAACCACTTCCAACCACATCAATCATTTAAACCTCCAAGAATATCTTTGGTATCTACTTATCATCATTTTCTATATATAATAATAATCAAAAGAGTGTGTTTGTGCTGCAATCGATCAGAAGATCTCACAATTATTCACTTATCATCATCGTCATAATCAGCACTCGAGACTGAAGCAACAGGACGACTTAAATGGAAAGGATCAGCAAATTCATAATCTGAAATTGGTTAATATTATTACTTATTAAGAATTTGAATTTTAATTTGAGAATATTAAATTTAAAAAAAGAAGGAAGTTGCAAAGCAAGTTCAAATGAAGCATAAAAAGGATGTTAATGCAGTACTTACGAAACAAATAAGGAAGCATGATTAATCATAAATTAAATTGACTTGTGTTAATGCAAACAAAAAAATGATAAAGAAAGTTTATCCACAGCAATCAAATGGCAGCTGAAGTCACAAGCCAGATGCACTTTTTTGCTGAGATCTAATTAAATTAGGTCAATAAATCAATTAATGATGAATTGAAGGGGAGAGATGAGAAATGAGGTGAGTGTTAATTCACAGAAATTATTGTTGTTGCTTTTTGTGTGGTTATGGTCACATAAAAAATGAAGTTCTTGTCTATATTAGATTCATCTTAACACACTCTGTTTAAGTTAGAACATATAAAATTACTAAAAATAACGAAAACAAAAAAATACAAAACTAAAACAAAATTATAAATTTTGTTACAGTAACAGATGTGAGGTTCTTTCCATACATTTGTTTTTTGTATATTTGTATCAATCTTGTTCTGAGAAATCATTAAACAACGTTTAAATGATGATCTTATAATTGTTGTTATTGTTATTGAGATTATGATTGGCTCTTTTTACAGATCATTTCTTGTTACTGGCATGCATAAATGTTTTACTATTTTTTTGCTGTTTATTGTATTATTATTTTTTTGGGGCAAAACTCAAGGGCTGATTTCACTGAAATTGAGTATCTTAATCTTTTATATTTTGAAGCTAGTAAATTGCCACTCGGAGTTATTTGATTTGAGATTTGATTGCTTATTAGAAAATCATTTAAAATTTTATTCGAATTGATCAGCTTTTGACTATAGCATTCTGTTTTTATAAACTTTAATCTGATACGTTCAATTCATGTTCGACAGACTTATCGAAAGTCTAGGGGTAAGTTTTTGATAGTTTTAAAAACAGATTTAGCTATATTATGCTTATTATTATTAATCGAAACTCTTGAATTGTTCGTATCAGACTTTAATGACTCCGTTAAACTATCCTTAAAATTGATAAAACAAGTCAAGCTAGCGCAACTTCATTTCGAAAAGTTCGAAATTAGTTTCGAAAACTTCCAAAAATTGGATCTGATACAACGGTTTTTCATTTTTTCAAACAATAACTGTCATTATATTTTTGAAAATATTTTCGCGAATTGGTTTTTTCATTCAAATTTTTCTTATAACGGTTTTTTTCGAAATTGCGCTAGTCTGAATCAAATCAGTATTTCTAGTAAACTTTTTGGTGTTTTTATTGCATTAATGGTATTCCTAGTTAAGTTCCTAGTGACATTAGTTCAATATCTTTAATCTCCCAAGAAGAATAAAAATCTAATAAAAATCTCAATGAATGCTTATGAACTTCATAATTTTAATATTTCAGTGAACTCAGCCTTTATTATTTTAATTAAAACATTTCATTTAGTTTTGGTCAACATGCTTTTATAAAAATTCTCAAAAATTATGTTTATTGGAATTATTCTTTATTGATTCTTTTTTGGTAGTTTTTTTGTCAGATTTTTACAAAATTTTGATTTTATTTGGTCCTTCGTCGGAGCTTGTCGAGCATCTAAAGATTTAATTTTTTATGGACTGTCAAATGTCCAGACATTTTATTGACTTGAATATCTTTTATTTATCGAGTAACCTACTCAAACCATAGAAATTTATTTGATCAATTTTTTGTGACTAAATTAGACACTCCTTAAAGCCTTATGAACTGAATTCAGATCCTTTAAACTCAAGTTTCCAAAAAAAAAATTGTGGCAAGAAAAATCAAGTTTGAATTAAAAATCTGACAAAAAAATCCAAGATTTGCTTCAAAAACTAACATTTGTTTCACATTATTTGTCAATTAATCAAATCAGAGCTTAACATTATAGCAAAAATCTACATTAAAACTAACTTGCAAATTTATTTTACATTACTTTTGTCGTACTTGAATTTATTATCATCAACATATATGTATCCATAGGTCCATCCATCCTTCAAGTGTGCTGATCATAATTCTTATTCCAAACCATTTTTTAATTCGATGTAAATTAAATGCGTCCCCTTAAAAATCGAAAGGAATTTTTTTTACGTTCTAGAATTGTTTTGACTTATCCATGAGCTATTAAAATTTCCTCCAGTCTTACCTTAAAAACACAAGAAACAATTTTCAAAGTCTTGAGCATTTTTAAGCAAAAATCAATATATAAAAAAAAGGATTTTTGAAATGAAAATGAATAAAACTTTAGAACAGAAAAATTAATTTTTTTATTAAATTTTCGGTTTATTTTAAATTTTTGGTATTTTAAATTAGATTTTTTTTTGGATAAAATATGGTTTTTTTCATGTGTTTTTAAATTTTTATATTTGCAATTTTTTTTCTCATATATAAAAATCTAAAATATTTTCTAAACAAATTAAACATCTGTTTGGACTTTTTCTTTATATTTTCAAAATTGAAAATTTTCCTCTGTTAGCAAATTTTTTAAAATTTTATTTATAAGAGTTAAGTTTGGGGGGAAGATGGAGTTATTAACCTTGATAAACAATTTGTTCAATAGTGATCGCAGGGGGTTCATTTGATTGTGATCAAAGTGATTTCGTGGTCTATAATTATTCATTTTAATGAGGATAAATGAATTTTCATTCTCATAGTTCAACTTATCGATTTGTAATTATTTCATCCTCATGATTCATGATCATTATTGGCTACTGATGAAAACTTGGTGAGTTTTGAAACTATTAGTTTTTAATTTATAATTTATATTGTGAGATTTGAATATCATCAACTTCTTCATCTGCCAAATAAATTTCTAATGTGATGAGACTGAGTTGGATTATTCATTTGGCTAAGGATCAACTTAAGTAAAAGAGCCAGATTCTGAAAATGACCAAAAAAGCTCTTTTCGTTAGAAAAATCTTAAATTTAACTTTCAGTGCTTAAAACATTGATTTTCAAAATAAAAAAAACCATTTTAGAAATTTATTTATTAGACTTGAAGATTTTTTGCTTAAAATTTGGCTTTATATCATGACTTTACGTTGCCTTAACGCTTGCAAACTGTTAAATAAATGTGAGCAAAGCTTTCAACAACATTTAATGTCTGCTTAAATGATTTAAAATTACAAAATTTCATTCTCAAAATTTTTCGAATATAAAGAAAATCTTCAAACAAATTCATAAAAGGGCGGGAAAAGCTTAATATTCAAAAATAATGGGTTCTTTTCTGTTGCTGTTTTAAAACAACGATTCAATAATTTTGAAGTAAAATAAATCAAAAACTACAATTTTAACATTAAATGATTCCCGTTTCTGATCACTTGACTTGAATTATTCAAACAATAAACCCAGGTTAATTCCTCCAAACTTCTCATCCAGGGTTACATCTTTTCTCCACATTATATGTCCTTTTCCATCATGTTTTGTGTTACTTTAAATTATTTTTGTGAAAATATATAGATATATTTAACAAAAAAATTAATCTTCATTAATAACAAATGAATAAAAAAAATGTTAAGTGCAAAAAAGAATTAATTAAAAATTTGTTATTAGTTACGGAATTTTCATCTTTCATTACTAAATTCATTTAATTATTTTTTTAAAGAAAATTTCTTCTTCTAAAGTATGCTTACATATGAGATTAAAATGTTCAAAACAAGTCAATTGAATTGTTTATTTGATTAAATTCCCACATACTTTATAACTATATCAAAATATCATACAAGTCAGCCAAAATATAAATCATCTATATATATTCTTTTTCTCGTTTTTTATTGACAATATATTTTTAGGAACTTAGCACTTATTGAGTTGTTTCTTCTCTCTTATTTTTTTTTTTTTGATATTTTAAGATTTTTTCAAATTTTCATCATTTTTTCTTTAAACTTAAGCAATAAAATTACTTTCTTTTCTTTTTGAAACAAAAAAAAATTTTGGCAAATTATATTTACAAAATCTCATCTAGAAGATTGAAATGAAAAACGAATAAAAGAAAGTTTCGCATCGAATCAAGTAACTTTAGATGCAGATCATTAAATATTTTTTTTTTCATCTGTTATCTAAAATGTTGTTTTTTTACATACATATATACTAATTAGTTTTTAATACATTGTCAAAAATATTTTGACATTTTGCAATCAGTGTTGTTGTTTGGATGTTCGAGGTTAGGTTTTTGTTGTAGGAAGTGAATGTGACAGTGAATATTATTTGTGATGGCGCTTATCGTGAGTTTGGGATGATTTTTCACAGACTATGGGGGTGTCTGCTAGTTGTTATTGCAATTTATTAGCCGAAAAACACTTGGTAATGCTGAATTCAACTTATTCAGCTATGTTTTGAGCTCAGATCAGTAAGTACCTTTGAAAATTTTGGATTAACCTTTGAATTCAGCTAGTTGAAATGATTAACAGCTGAATTCAACAAACTGAGCTGATTAACAGCTGCATTCAGCAAACTAAGCTGATGAGTAGCTGAATTCAGCAAGTTGAGCTGATGAACAGTTGAATTCAGTAAACTGAGCTGATTAACAGCTGAATTCAGCCAGTTCAGCTCCTTTGACAATAATAGCTATCTTGAATCAATAAGGAATCAAACTAGAGGCTTAAGTAAATAGCGTGTGATCTAAAAATCGTCCCTTAAGTGCTTTGACTTGTTCCAATATGGAGCAATTAATTAAATAATTAAGATTCACATCAATAGCTAATTTAACTTTCAAACTGGATTCTTGCAAATTTTTCAATCATTCCTTCAGATTTTCTGATGTCTCTTTAGCTATGTAATAGCTAATTGAACTTGACTTCAATCAAATCCAAACAACAATCCTGCTTGCAGTTTTGAGGAAACTATATAAAATTTACAATTCGAATTGCTCAATTTTTCCATTTTTAACAAAAAATTTCATCATTTTTTTTTGCTGTTCCATTAATTATGTCTCATCTTTTTCTCATAAAGACTTTCCATAAAAAACCTTGGTTATTGCTAATGAGCTTTATTAAAGTTATTTTATTAAATATATTGTATAATTCCTTATCATGTGTATACAATAAAAATGCATTAATTTAATATAATTTTTTTAATGGTCAAGAATTAGTCAATGTCAATAAATTCAGTTGGTGTCAATAAATGATTGTTCAATAGTTAACTTTGTACCAATTTTATGTGTAATCATTTTATGTGTCAAGGGATGTTTTTGGAAATAAACTATAAATGAAAATAAAAGAAATGAAACCTTATACCAAAGAGTAAAATAATTAAAGAGAATTAATTATTAAAATAACAAATTTAAAAAAAGGATATGCGATTGGTTTTTTTGTTTTGTTTTGTATGTGTTTAAGATTTTTCGTACGGCTCAAAACTAATAAAGTTTATCATTATTTTAATTTCTGCTATCGATTGAAACTAATCTGAAATTTTGAATTTTGTAATTTAATGAATGCGAAATTTGATTTTATTTGATGGAAAACTTATCATTTCTTAGCCATTTGAAAGACTTTTCTTAAACTTTGCTTATAAAATTCTGCTTTATGGTAGAAACGGCTTTAAGTGACAGATGCAAAGTATAATTCCAGGTCAGTTTTGGTTTTTGGAAAGGTTGATGATAAACCTAGTCATCTAGTTGCAACTTAAATCATTTTATTGCAAACCTAGTTATCTTGTTATTAATCTAGTCATTTGGTTGCCAACCTAGTCATCTGGTTCCCAACCTCGTCTTTCATATAGAATATTGAACTTTACTAGGTTTGCATTTGGATGTCATTCCTAGACTTCTGAATGACTTTCTTACATACCAGACAATCAAAGGAAATCCTAAGGATGTACAAAACAATCCACTTGAGATAGTTTGAGATTTTGGATACCCAAGAAATCCCACCTCCAAAAACAATTAATAATTTTTAAAAACTCTACAAAACTTAGTAAAAATCTTTACAGAACCCTTAAAAATCATCTTCATTGTAAAAATAGCAAACCGCTACTGTCTGTAGGCAATGCTGCTTATTGTCAGCATGAAAACATAACTCTTAATGAGGTCGTCTGCCATTGTAATTACAATTACGCTTACTATATTCTCAAGTTCTGCTTAATCTCAATTTAAGTTTACAAAGCGTAGCTCCTTTGACTCAAACAGCTTGTTACTAAGCTGAAAAAAGTATTAAGGTCATTCAGAATGACCGAGAAATGAGTTTTTCCACCTAATAACAAAAAATAAAATGAGTGTGAAAGAAGTGTGTATTAGTAAGTAAAACAATCTTCATAGAAGATTTCTATCTATATACTTTTAAATATACAGTTTAATGATAAACTTTATTTAAAGTTTTATTTTTTGAAGTTTTTCTTTTCTTCGTTGAATGAAAATAAAAAAATGATCGAGAATTCGTGTATGTGTGTTTCTCTTATACTTTTTTTGTAAATTAAACAATCGATAATTTTTATGCAGAAATAAATGGAGAAATAATAAATTCAATGAGCTTATTCTTAATAATGAGTAATAAATTTGGGTGATTGAAATGCTATAGAAATTTAGGCTCCTCTATATTTTTTTTTGTGTCATCCGATTTCGTTTTTTTTCGATTTTTATTTTGTATTTGAATAAATTCAGAGAAAAAAATAAACAAAAATTTTTCAAATGAAATAAAAATATTTTTTTTTTTGGAATGTTAATGCAAAATTTTTAAATTTTTTTAAGTTTTTAAGAATTTTCCAGCAATTTTCTTTTGAATTTTAAGTTCTGTGGGAATTGGTGTTTTTGAGAGATTAAGTCTTGATGTTTAACGTTTGGCTGTGGCTATAGGAGAAGGTCAGATACCCATTTAGGATTGAAATAAGCATAAGAAAATGCAGAATTCAAAAATTTCAGGCAACGTCCTTGAGCTTTAGGCAAATTACAAATTAAGTGATAAAAATGATAGGCACTAGCCCATGCTAGTCCTATTTTGAAAGACCCTAGCGTGTTCTAAGCATATTCAATTAAGACAATTAAACTAGCTCATTGTAATGAGGTACTCAATTAGAGATACTCAATTAGAAAATTTGAGATTATCTGAGAGTTCTTAGATAACTTCTGGAAAATGTAACTCAATCACGTAATTTTCTTTTCATTTAATGAATTCTTATCTTACTTGTTTGTTTTTCATGGGATTTATTTTTTTGTGAAGGTTTGAGAACTTTTCTGAATGATTTAATTAAGTATTGGCTAACAAGCTTTCTTGCAAGTGACATATAAGCGAAATTCGAGGTTTAATTGGATATTGAATCTAAAAGTTGACAGCAAACTTCACATCAAGTGATGTCAGGAATTAAGTTTGAGAATCACTGCTTTAAATAAATGGCAATTTTATAAAATATTTGCCATCTTTTGAAATTGCCAAACTCAAAAATTATTTGAAACAAGACCAAATCTTATTACATTTGATGTAACAATCAAGTGTCAAATCCTCAATAATTTTCAATATTTTCCAGAACTGATCCAGAAGCCTCTTAAACACTGGGAAACTCTTCAAAACCTTTGCTAAATTTTGAAACAAATCGAGTCAAACAAATGAGAAATTTTCCAATTCTTCCGATTCAAAATCGGCTCTGTTTTAAAATCTATTAAAATTAAATTTACATTTGTACTGACGATTTAATAAAAAATATAATATTTATCCTTTAATTATTGCACGGTTTAACGATGAAACAAGAAATTTATTTTAAAATCGATATTTTTTTCTCATGTGCCTGCATTAATTTTCCTGTTTAATTAATTAACAAAACAAAAAGTCATCGATAAAGAATGAGCCTAAGTTTCTTTAGCAATAAAATGTCCCCAAATATGATTCACATTCTGGTTGTTTGTGGTACGTACTCGGTGTAATGTTTGTGTTTTTATATTCACACTTATTTCCACTGAAACCGTCAACGCATCTGAAACGAAATGAGAAGAAATTAATTAAAAAAATTGAATAATTCAAGTTTAATCAGGCAGATGTGGATCAAAAAGATGATCCCGAGCCGCACAAAGGGTCTATAAAGATTTTACAAGGTAATGTCTATTGAAGAAGATCTTTGAGTGATTTAAGACTCTCTTTAGCTGTCTTTTACTCTCTGGGTCACTCAAGGATCATCCTCAATTGAGCTTCAGCTGTTTTGGATATCACAAGACTATATAAGTTCCATATGTCGCTCGGAGACCATAAGACCATGTGTAGGATCTTACATGACGTCAATATTCATATTGAAAGAAATAAAAAGAACAAAATGAGTGATTCTTATTTTTTTCAGCTAGTAATTGAAGTCAATTCCAATTTCTCTCTTCCTGAACACACAAAAATAATTCAACAGGAGTGAGAGAAATTTTTCAATAAACTTCAAATATCAAAAACGATCGACCCCCAATTGTGAAACGCAAAGAATGTTTATTGAATAAGTATAAAAGAAGAAAAGAGAGAGAAAAAATCCTCAAAGAAGATCTCAGGTTAATTAATTATGTATAAACAAACAGAAATGAAGAGGAAAGTTTTCCTGCTCAACTGCACGCGCTACCATGTTTATGAAGAGATTAACGTGCAAATTATATTCAATGTGATAAATAACTTTCCTGATTAGTCGATAAGTTTGATTGTCTGCATCAAGCACTTATTACAATTCATCAATCGATGATTATAAATTTTATTTAGATAAGTAAGGTTTGTGTTTACAATTTAGATTCATGTTTTATATCTGATAGTGACTATATGAAATTAATGTGGTGCACTGCTGTTAATTTGATCTATAGAAGCGTCTTTAATCTTCACATTTTAATTAGCTTCAAATGAGTTTTCTTAGTAAATCATGTTTATGCGCATATTTCAGTATCTGGCACGTAAAGTTTATAGAAGTCTTAGCACTGCAATTGAAAGTTTGTAGATTGCTTGGAACCTTAGCTAATGATACTAAATCATTATGACAATTTATTAGGGTGTACCAAGTGAGTTGTGAGTACCCAACTTCAAGTCGTTAGTACAAATTCAGATAAATCTGGATATTAAATGATCTAAGTCTAAACTTTAATTTAATAGGATTTTCTACAAAAAGTCATGATCCCATCTTTCTAAATTTCTCAAAATCGAAGAATCTGAAAGGTCTTATCTCATTACTTCCCAGAAAAAAGACGTTATATACATATGACAGTTGATTCATGATACCCAAGCACCAACTGTTTACCATTTCACTTTTTACCCACTCCGTTCTGTCACGATCAGAAAAAAATAACAGATTTAAAAGTAAACATCTCAGGTATGCCGCTTAACATTCATCTTTCAACAGAATATATTGAATTCCATTGCAATACATCAAAACACATTAACGCGACAAGAGAAGAAAATTCAAAACGATCATTAAAAGTCACCACCAGTAAAGACAAGTCAGAAACGACTCAAGACACCGAGTAGAGCAAGAAAGTCGAGTGATTCATCATGAAAAATGCACACTCTCGTGTTCACGGATCTTATTTTCTTTTTCCTTCAATTTAACGTATTTTCTTGCTCATGTTTTTTATTCCTTTGCACATACATTACAGTCGTTCTTTTTTATAAAGAAACTCTTTTCTTCTCATATCACAGCGCGCTTTTCGGTGAATGTTTAAAAATAAATAACCCGCGCTAGACTAAACAAAAAAATATATATATTTTCATGGAGCGTTTTTCACTTACTTTTTTATAATTTTTCTTTTTTAATTCTTTTATTTTCAAACAGAATATCAAGATGATGATCATAAATGTGTGCAAGTATGTAAGCAATGAGCAAAATGATTGTATGTAGCATATCTCGCATATTTCTTATGTGTGTTCGACTTTGAAATGCGTAATTAATCAGTCTCAATTGTTTTTGAGACGAAAAAAATGCGATAACAAAGGAATGTTGAATGGATGATGTGTAGACATTCAATTACTTCCTATAAACTTTCATTTACAACTTTATTATTGCTGTCGTCGTCATCGTATGTCTCTTAATGTTACTCCTCATTTGAGAATTTACATTTCATTTACTTCTCATTTAGAGACTTGGTTAGAAGGAATGAGGGATGAGTTATGGCTTTCATCTGACTGTTTGATTAATAATTGACTGACTGAATATCCCATGGAGTTGTATTGCCTCAAAAAGCGAGGCTTAATTTATATAGACTTGATAAAAACCATCTAGCTACTAGAAATGTCCTTAATTTAGTAGTTGAGACATCATTTGGACACTCAAACTCAAATTTCAAGCAAAATTTAGAATTTTGAGGTTAACCTAGAATTTATGAATGTGAGAAAGACCAAGGGACAATGAATAGACTTGCAGAAATTTTTCCTTGATATATGGAACTATACTATCTAACTTCAGGATCAAGGAGGTCACTGGAGGTCACTTCAAAGCCTTTCTGACTAGACACTCAAGCCTATATTTTGCATGACCCCTCCAATAGTCTTTTCACGTATTCCTTACTCCCCAAAACTTTATGCGTCCCAAACCTTGCAAACCCGACCATCTCCCAACTATTTTCCTCCTTTCACTTCCATTGTCGCCTTTCCCGCCGCATATTCCTCAATTATAAGTATTTTATATCTTCATTTTTCATTCATTTCAGTCATGATGTGCAGTCAAATGTAATTTGACTGGTAGCCAACGTAACGATATTAACTGCGAGACACTTTATAAAAATCATGATTCTACGTCTCATGTCTCCTGTCCAACATTTATTTATTTTTTTTTTCTATCTCTGAATGTATAAATATACACAAACCGTACATACATTATGGATGACATGACAGATATATTGCATATTATTTGATGATATTTTTGGTATCATTTCTTTTCCATACGACACGACTTTTTCCACCGAGTGCAAAATGTTCATTTATTTCTCAATCTAACGCCACGCGTATGTTCTTTACTTGTAAATTTTCATGACTCTGTTTTATTTTGGTTTAAATGAAAAATAATATTTTTAAGTAGGTGAACTCTGTGTTCTTCCTTTCAATAAATTTACATTAAGTCAATAATATTGATTGTTTATCCTTTGTTTAAAATTAAATCAATTCAATTTATACTTCTTCTTTTGAGATTATGTGGGCAAGAAGAATTTTCTCAGCTTGTAGGACATATATTGTGGGGGACTACTGACTTTGCTATATAAAGGTGTGCCTTAACACACTACATGATCTTTAAATGTTAAACCTTCAATATTAGAATCTATTAGCTTCATTTCTAGTAACTAGGATCAGAAAAATGAAAAGTTGAGACTGACAAGATTCGAACTGTGGATCTCAAAGAAGGTCTTCAAGATAAAATTAACCTAGAAACTATCCAACTGTGCAATTGATACACTACAACTCAGTATAGCTTTTTTTAACAAAACAGAACATATGAAGCTACATTTTCTTCTTATACCATTTAAAATCCTGGACAAACTGATCAAGATACCAACATTATCGCCCGATAGTCACGCTTTAAAAACCTGTGAAGGAGAAAATTTGTCTGAGATTTTTCATTTATTTTCAAGATGAAAATAAAAAATGAAGATAATAAGAAAAAGATTTTTATTTTAATATAGCAGCAAACGGCAGTTGGAAGATTAAAATGACAGTGGTAGTAGCATGCGAATGATCGCGCACGTTTATAAATCATTTTATATAGTGAGTAAAAAAAATCTAAATCATTAAAATTTAATTTTGACGACACATAAAAGTCGCATTTTTATGCTCCGCATGAGTTTATTTTATGATTCCGGCTCTCTTTTTTGCGTTCATTCTATCGGGAATGATGTCAAATTGAGACGAAATTAAGATGAAAGAAAGGCTTCTGATGTAAGAAGCATTAAATGTCTAATAAAATTTTGTGAATTTATAGAAAGTTTATCACGAAATGGCGTTGATTGGGAAATACAGATGGACTTGTGACTGCTCAAAAAAATTTTTGAAGATCACGAGGAATTGAAAGATTTTTCCGAAAGGAAATGACACTTTGAAATGCGAAATATCCATCTAAAACTCATTTGACATAGACATTCATAAATAAGGTCGCTTTTAAATGATGTCAATTGCTGGGTCTGGATAGTTAAGTGTAGTAAAGAGATTAGTGATTAGGGATGCATCCTGAAATCCGGTTTCTCGGTTCCAAGTGTAGAATTTGGATAGAAGATCCTTTAAGTTAAAGGTGTTTCAGCTGTGCATTATTAAATGCTTTAAAATTCTAAATTCCCTTGCTGCTCACTAAGTCTAGTTCTGTAAAACATTCCATACCCAAAATGCCATCTCAAACCACAATGAAGAGGTCATTAAGATCCTAAACATCATTTCTGAACAGCCCATAATAGAAATTATGAGAATCAGTTCCTTGATTTCTTCTTACGTCAAAACTTTCTTCACATTCTAGATTTTAAAAGTCGTAACTGAGACACATCTCAGGTTATTCGCTCAAAGCAACAGCTAAAAATAAAGAACATCTCAAGTGTTTATGAAAAATTGATCATTCGCTATTCAAGCTCGATGTTATTTATGCTTCTCTCAATATTCACATGTATATTCATGCATCACTCATCGATAAATTTTCTTTCTTCCTACCTTCTCGACGAATATTTTTTTTTCTTTTCTTTTTGCACTCCGTTAATAGATTGAGATGAATGGAATATCCGTTTCAGGGGAGAATAAAGAGACGAGAGGGTGATAAATTATAGACAATCGATATTGAATGAAGTGCCAATTTAATTCTCACATTAAAAAATCATCTCGAACGGCGATGAAAAGGTAATCAAATAAATAAAATAATGGATTGGACGATCACTTACTTGCATGAATACTCATTTAATGTTTCAATTATTAAACATGTGCCACCGTTCCAACAGTAGCCTTCTGAGAAATCTGCCGGACATTCTTTCACTCCTTCTTCACTTGGCACTGAAATGATTTAGAGAAATAATATTTATTAGACACTTTGCTTATATTTTATGGATTTGATTGATCTGATTTCGAATGTGTGAAACTTTGAGGCTAGTGATTCGTATGTGAATTTAGATTAAGAACAATTTGTGTGGGATTTGAACCCACAACTTTTGGAATTTCATCTAAAATTAAATCTTCTGTCTTTCAATGTTTATGCATTAAAACGGCAATAATCCACTTAGTAAGGAAAGAATTTAAAGTTTCTGACTTCGAATCAATGTCTCAAACTAGTTTCCAGTGTCTCAAACTTCTTTGCAAAGTCGTAGATCTCTTTCGTTGGTTTTAAACGTACACAAGAGCATCAGATAAGAAATAATAAGTAAACGACCACTTATAAAGGTTGTGGAACTGATCGAATGACTTCCAGCTCCCAACCATCGTCTAAAACATAATATCTCTAAAAATAGGATTGACTTACCCGTTCTATTGGTTGTTGATGAAGAATGTCTAACAATTAATGTTGTAAATTTGGAAACTGGCTTTCTAGTCAATTTATTTTTGGCTCTACATTCATATTTTCCACTATCAGCTGCAGAAAGATTTTTAATTATGAGATCAGATCTTCGCCTGAAAAAAAAAACAAAATTAAGAGATTCACATGTCAATCATTGCTTAGAACATTAGCTGAAACATTTTTTAGTGCTTTCGTCTAGATTTTAATATGATTTTTTTTTTGTCATGAATTGAAGATGGTGATACAAAAATGTTTCATCCTGGACAGTAAAATCTATCTAAAGTTTAGCTTAGTCTGCTGTAAATCTGTTAAAAAAGTCATAAAATTGTAAACTCACCGCGAGTGGACGAATTCAAATTTTGTTCTATTCCTATTAATCGACCGACCGTTAAAGAACCACGTCACTTTAGGAAATGGCTCTCCATTTACTTTACAAATAATTCTCGCTTTTCGCTTATCCTCATTAACAGTCAAATTAGGTGATATTGATTCTATTGAAGCAACTTTACCTGTAAACAATGAAAGAAAAGAAAGAGAAAGAAGATTAAAGATCATGTTACAAACTGCGCAACAGCAACGTGAGAGAGAAATAAATGAAAAATCATTAAAAGATCAGAGAAAATGAGGGAGGGAAAAAATGATTTTTTTTTTTTATTTTAGAAGAGAAAGGTGAATGGAATAGAAACATAAACATCTCGCAAAAGAAAAACGTTTTTCGATTTTTCATCGTCATTGCGTTGAATTTTCCGTGCATTTTTAAAGAAAAATGCGCAATTGTCCTGATTTTGACTGACTTTCAATTTTTGATTATTTTTGATTCAAAATTTAAGCGTTATTTTTAAAATTTGAATTTTTTGGTCATACATTTTCAAATACATTTTGACAGTTATTTTTCAAATATTAATTGACTGTTAATTTTTTTTTTGAAAAAATGCGCATTTATCAGTAAGAAGCTAGCTTTAATTTATTCTAGCTCCTAGCTTTTCACATCAACTTGCTTGATTTTTTAAAAACGAGCTGAGAAAAAATGAACATTTTATTTTGTGATAGTCGCCGTTTCACTTTACGGGGTCTCTCGATGCTCATTAGATTCTTTAATTTTCACGTTCGCGACAGAAAAAAATAATGCTACGGACATGATGTAACATGTGTTTTCCACCGAGAGTGATATTCTTCATCTTTTGCGTATGATTAATCAAACGATCATTTTCTACTATTAGAAAATGTCTCCTTGTGCGTGCTTATGCGTAATTCTTCTCTTTTTTTCTTATTATTATTCACAGATAAAGTTGAATGATCGCCATCGTGCAAAATGTGCGTATTTCACATGCTAAAACGTGTGCTATAAATTCTATCTGGATTTATCTTGTTGATGTTTTTTTTTTGTTTAATGATGTTTTCGTGTTTTCATTTGTGAATACAACTATTAAAAAAATCACAAAATTTATATTTTCACACTAATCATCATGAGATGCGCAGTGCTTGTTTATTTGATTCTATAAATCATTTTGGAAGGGTTCAAAATGTTGATAAAATAATAATAAATTTTACATAATTAAGATTATTTTATAAAGCCCCCGTGAGACTTATTTTGAATATTTTTTTTGTGATTTACATGAACTCGAAGATTCGTTTATGAAGAGAAGAAAAAGAGAACTTTGTGGCAGTCGCTTGAATTCATTTTAATTAATTTTTCATTGAAGATATTCGCAATGATCATAAATTTGTTGTAGTCAAGAAACTTAATGTTTTGTGCTTAGAAACTTCCTCAATAAAATAGTTTTGAATATTTTTTGCGTTTGCTGAATCAAGATTGTTCTGAGGCTTTTTCATAGGTTGGTTGGGTTTCTTAAAAAATTGGGAATTTTGGGCTTCTTTGGATTATGAGTCTTAAAAACTTTAAACAGCCGTTAATACAGCGATCCCGAATACCCAGAAAATTAAAAGTTAAGTTAAAGTAAGCGTAAAGCAAGCTTATAGTTTTGTTGAATTCATAAAGATTTGCGTACAGCTTGCTAAATCAAAGTTTTTGATAGTCTGGTTACTAAGGTGCACTGTACCCCTAGTCTCATCCCTAGCCCATTCAGATATCATCTCCTGCCTTTAACAAAATTTTAATTCAAATCTTATTTAGTTTCAACCTTGTCTTAATCGGCATGCTTCCCATAAATCCACAAATCTCATCATAAAGTCCTTCAAACAAGTTATAGAAATAGAAACACGGAGAAAATATTTTGACCTTAAAGTTTTTAAAAATTATGAGAATCAATAAAAATTAGGAATACATCATAAATTCTCAACAAAGTATATTTAAATATTATGAAGAGCATGTGATGTTGACGATGTATTAGTCGCTCAGACTTTTGTCAATCGCCTTCAAAAAAAAAAAAAGTCACACAGTCACTTATTTATGGTGAATCATACCGATACTCATAGTTTTTCATCCTATTTTCTCATTTTCTCACTTTTATTTTTTTTGTGAATGAGTCTATTTTTTCCTCAGACCGAATTTTCTTCTTCTATTTTATGTAATATGTCCGAATAGTAAAAAATATAGTGAACGTAAAGTGGATGTGTATATAGTTGACAATCGTATTGACTCAGCTTTCTTTTAATTGTGTACACAACGTGATTCAGTACATATTGTGAATGAGTGCGGGTGGACTAAGTTATGAGTCGAGAGATCATAATATTATTGCTGCACTCTCTCCACAAATAAATATAATTTCATTCTCATTAGACTGCAAGTTATTACTCGACAATACATCGAATGTCAAAATGATTTTAATTCACAGTACCATTTGCATGCAATAAGTTTACTCTTTCCGAGGGGGTTATTTAAATTTGTCGAATAAATAAAGCTGCTCCGAATTCTCATTCGCATACGGCGAATGTCTTCGTTGTTGATCATGATGAATCAGATGCGAAAATAATCAAGGAAACTCGAATGATTGCTTTTTTTACGACCATGAAGCTTTAGATATAGCTTCTTTTTATATTAAGCAACAATGTTGCTTGTTGGATGATTTTATTTTTAACGAGGAAAAAGATTTCTTCGGAGAAAATTGCACACATAAGTTTTTTTTTATCATTCGTTGGGAATTTTCATTTTTTTGTTGTTGGTCACGGTGAATCAAGCTAGTGAGATATTGGTGTGTGGAGTTTCTAGAAGTTTCTCTTGAGTTTTGGGTGATTTTTTAAGGGAAGTTTAATTGATTTTATGTAACTTAGAACCATGGACATTGAAATTTTGATGATAAATATAGACCAAGCTTCATTTTGAGGCTTTACTAAGCATTATAACTTTGTGGCTTTAATTTTTCCAAGAACCTATACGAGAGATACCATTTGGGAGAGAATTGAAGCAGAGCTGGCTTTAAGCAGTGTAGACTTCAAGCTTATAAGCTTAATTGGCAAGAATACAGCGATATAGCTGTTTCTCATGACGTCTCTCACTAGTTTCAATTTTCGGTTCTCAAAAAAAACTGAACTTCTCTATTTGAAGTCTAAAGCATTCCAAATTAAAGATTTTAAGGCTTCCAGAGATGCCTTAAAGTCAAAAATTGATTAATTACAATCTATGGTTACAATAAAAATTTATAAAAACTACTGCAGCCATATATACCAGCCCAGATCTCTAGTTCTAAGTTCCCAGATTTTCCAAAATTATAGAACCTCCAAAAGTTTTCCTCAAAGCCTCAAACGTATCAACAAAAAAACATTAAATTACTTAAAGTCTTAATCATAACGTTTAAAAAATTTCAAAATTATTTTTATGTATAGGTTTTGATGATTCATGCATGAAACAGCTGATAAGATAAGCAAAAGGTATTCATTTGATAAAAAAAAAATTAAAATTCAAAAACATTAAGCAAAAAAGTCAGTCGTGACTAAAATATTGAAAAAGGCGAATCAATGTTGACTTCATTTCTTGGCAATTTGTATGGTCCGGTTGACGTTGGACAAATTTTTGTGATTTCTGGTAAATCCGTTGATGGCGCTAGTATTCTAGAAGTGGATTTAGCAGCAAATAAATATGATCCAACAGATGTTCCTTTACATTTGTCTGTGCAATTTCATAGTGAGACAATTGAAAGGAATTCATTGGTCGATGGTGCTTGGGGTGAAGGAGAGACTGTAGAAAATGCAATCTCACCAACAAATCCAATCATACCTGGATGGGACTTTAGATTATTGATATTAACTGGTGATGAGATGTTCCATATATCAATCAATGATCAGCCATTCTGTACTTACAATTATCGATTGCCAATTGAACTAATCAATGCAATATCAATAACTGGAGATGTCCAGAGAATTTTCCAAGTCGATCATCGACGAGCTTTCCCGTCACCATGGCCATTGCTTCATGAGGAAGTTACACGAAATTCTGGAAACTCATTTGACACGCCCAAAAAATTCTATGTTGGACATGTTTTTGTTATCAGTGGAATTCCAAGTGGAAATCCAAACGGTACTTTCGTATTGCACTTAAATCAAGGAGCATCCTCAAGACAAATGCTTCATATTAGTGTCAGATTCAATCAACGGAATGTCATTGTCAATTCACAGACTGATTCATTGGAGTAAGTAAATGCTTGTGGTTCATTTATGACGTCTTACATACTTTATGCTTCTAAAATATTTCTGACAAACTGCTGTCAATATTTTTGGATAGTACACTCACGCATACATTTACACACTTTTCAAGGACGTCATAAATGGATTAACTTATTTCACTAAAGACTCAAATACACAAAAATAATTATATAGCAAAAATAATTTTAGATGGCGCAAAGATGAGGAGAAATACGGATTTCCATTCGCACTGGATCAAATGTTCAAGCTTGCTGTAGCTATAACAGAAAATGCCTTTGTCGTAGCTGTTGATGGAAATATTTTCTTCACATACAACTATCGAGTACACAATCAATTCTTGGACTCATTGTCAGGACTTAAATTGAATAATTTTAATGGACTGCAACTGGAAATTCAAGGCGTGGATCATTTTAATACAGGAACAACTAATTGTGAGGGATTTGAGGCTTACACTCATCCTGATGCTCTTTTGGATTAGATTTTGTGAGTGAATTGAGTTTAAATTGTGCAATAATTATGAACAAAATGAAATGTGACAAGCTATCTAGTTCCTTTAAATAAATTATGTATCCTTAAAAGTTTTCTGAAGTTTAATTAATTAATCGAGGCTTAGAGTTTGGTATCTTGATTAATATTAGGTTTAGTAGAGAATATGGCTAGTGCTTGGAGAAACTATGTCCAGATGCTTGTTAGGATCTAATTCTGAAGCTGCTACCACAAATACAGATCAATAGAGTTTGGAAAACTTCAAAGGATTAACTTGGAGCTTTACCGTCAACTTTTGAATCCTGACATTCCCCTTCCAACTCTGACCATACATTGTAAGAGGCAGTGTGAAGTATCTTGAGCAATTTTCAGAGCTACTTACAGTCAATACTTAACGTCTACAGAAATTTTACTTCTAGATGAGCACATAATGAATGAATGACAGAAGATCTGTGACTTTTCACGGATGCTGTCGTGCTGATTGTATGGTAGGCACCCGCAAGTATTATTTACTATCGACTACGTCGTTGCTTTGGTTTCATCTTAATATTCTTATTTTCTGTTTCGTTCATCTTCATTTATTTATTTATTTAGGAAAATATAGGTCAACGCTTTTAAAAGACATTTCGTATTTACTTCTGTTATTCATTTCTTTTCGGGGTGATCGCAATTTTCTTTAAAGAAATTAAAAACAATCTTTTTAAGTCTTCTTCTTACTTCACGATCCTCTTGAAATACGCTTGGCACATATGATGGACCAGATTTCGATATAGACGAGCATCATAAAAAGTTATTCTCGATATGATTTTTTTATCTCTTCTGCAAAAGACTTTTTACTCGCATTTAATACGCAATAAATTTTCTATTATTATAAATAACTGTCACATCTGTATGAATTTCGAATCTCTCGTCTGGTTGCTCCTCATCAAAGGAACTTGCTACGTAAACACGCACGAATAATGAATTTAAATTGCAATTCTTTGGCTTTCATACAATGTCAAATGAGAGAATTCTAATTTTTTAACACAAATTCACCGAGAATATCTAGAAAAGGAATCAAGAAAACTTTCTAACTGTACAATTCTTTTTTATTTTATTTTATTTTTTAAATTTTTATTTTGGAAATGCAAGAAAGGGAAAACGGAATTCCAAAAAAGTAACGATAAATGCATGTTTAATAACTTAAATATTTTTCGCATAGTGGGGAATTTTGTGCAAACAACAGAAGACAGAAGCGGCTCAACACAGAAGGCAAGAAGGAGATTGCAAAAAGAACACAATCGATCGCTTTTTGAATTTTAAAGAGACACACAACACACATGCCGTCATCAAAAGAGTTGAAAACAATCAAAATTATATATAACACACACAATTCTATTACAGGTGATTCTCTTGCTGCATATCATGAGTTAAGGTACTTTTGAATGTAACTGGATTTAATTTGAATTAAATTTTGACATTATTCAGCTTAATTTAGTATTCTCTACTTTAATTGATGCTTATTAAGCACTATTCAGGTTAGTTTACATCAATTCAGCAATAATTAAGTTCTATTTTGCTTATCAGACTTAATTCAGCTGAATACAATCTAACTTAGTTCAATTCAGTCGAAATTCAGTACTTTTAAACTTAATTCAGCAATATTCAGCTCAATTTAACCAAATTCATATCAATTCAGCTTACTTCATGATAATTCAGCTTTAATTCAAGCTAGTTCAGCTCAAATAAAGCTAATTCAGTCCAATTCAGCTTAAATGAAGCTAATTCAGCACCTTTTAGCTTAAATTAAGCTAATTCAGCACAATTCAGCTTATATGAAGCTAATTCAGCACAACTGAGTTGAGTTTAAGACAATTGAAAACAAATAAGCCAAAAAATTTGACATATATTTATCAAAAATTCAACCTATATTCATATAAACAAGTAAGTCTAATTCAGCACTATTCCTATTGCAATAAAAATGAAAAGTTTGTAAACATTCCCAGTTTCAAGAAACATAACATTGAGTCAGAAAAAAAATATGTTAATATTATTGTGAAAAACTAGACTAAACATACGAAATTCCTTGCAAAAGTCAGAGGAGAGAGACATGACTGTAAATAAGAAGAAAAAAAGGCACTGAGGACAACTAAAAACGTAAGCACAAAAGAAATGATTGTTTAAAAATACAAATCGTGAAAATTTAAAAACAGTTTTACAGAATGGGATAAATACATAAATGGTTGCACTATATTTGGCATAGAAGGTCTTCTGTGTGAGAGATTTTTGACTCTCGGGACTCTCTTCGTATATGCACGCATATATGTATATAAAATTTGCAATGAACCATGCTGTATGCGTTGTCGCCATGCCGCTTAAAAAGCTTTAAAAACCAAATTCATCAACAACATTTTTGGGGACAGCATAAAAATCGCTACCAAAAATTACACAATGCAGTTACGAATATTTTTATTTTATTTCGAATTTTATATATTTTTTTGATATTTTTCCACGGTACTTTTGGACTTGAGCATATATATGTATGTATGATAATAACTTGAACATATCGATCTATCTCTCACGATCGACAATCGAAACAAATTCATTATTTTTTCCTCAAAAGGGAATCCGATGTCTGGGAGCATTTCGCAGTTCTTTCTTCTTTCTCTCTTTCTCACTCACTCACTTCTCTGTTAACTCGTCAACTTTTTTTTTTTTTGGGAAAAGTCGACGCGTCATTTTCATGCAATGACAATGAAGGATGAATTCCCAATCATTTCTATGGGTTTTGTTGTACTTTTTTTTGGGTATACAAAAACTGGCGGTAATTTTTTTTACTGATTTTTCTCGAAATAAAATAAAATAACAGATTTTTAAGTGCATTTCGTGGAAGTTTATTGCGCGCTTCTGTTTTTATTTTGTCTTGATTACATTTTTTTTTTGAGGAAAATGATTAATGAGTCATTTTTGGGGATTTAATTGCGATTTTTTAAAGATTTGTTTGAAATTTATCAAGTTGAAAATTTACGGTAAGGGGGGATATGAAACAGTAGAGCATCATTAATAAATCGTTCGGTCTGGAACTACTTTTTTGAGCTTCCCGAGTCACCTAGCACTAGAAAATGGTCCTTAATGAACACAGTCCCATTCTTTCATTGGAAGAGCCGTTCTTTGCTCTAACCAGGGGCGTAGCCAGGGGGGGGGGGGGGGGCATAGGGGGCCCTGGCCCCCCCCCATACGAAAATCTGATAATTGTTTTATATAGATGAAAGAAATGTCAAAATCAGCACGAAAAATTAAATTTAATGTATGAATAATGAATTAAATATTTAAACTTATTTAAGGATACAAAATAACGGTTTTTTAATTTTCGAAAATGGGCCCCCCCCCTTAAAAATTTTCTGGCTACGCCCCTGGCTCTAATAATGGAGTAGCCAAAGAAGGAAGGTCTGGTTGGGTCTGTTCCCAATAAAGGCTTTTACGATAGTTTGAATCAACTTATCATCAGATTAAAGATCGTAAGCAGAAGCGATACTACTTTGCAAACAACTCCCCTTGAAAAATGCGCTCTATCCACCCATCATTTACCCTCCGTTCATCACAACCACTTCCAAAAGAAGCATGCAAGAGAAATGATAATAAAAAGGAGACTTTTGGTTTCATATAAAATGCTCAAAATGAAACATTAAATGTAGATTTTCTATGATGCGAAAAATGAGTGTTCAAATCAACGTGAGTGAGTGAGTAAGATGGAAAAAGTTGGCAAGCCGTCTCGACTAAGAAAGAGATTTTATATATATTTATATTCGTATACGCTCGATCACATTGAGTCCAACTGCATGAGTAATTTTTGCTTAATTTTCAAAATTTAAATCAGTCCGAATGTGCAGAAGCAAGAAAAAAAGGCTATCTCAAAGACAATAAATTTATATCAGTGACTAATAACAGTGATCTTCTTTTTAGTATATGAAAATGTCTCTCTGTTGCCGCCGACTAATTTTTCTTATTTCTTTTTCTCGTGTAAACATATTTTTCACACACGTAACTCACTCGGTTTGATAATTGATGCCAAAGCGAGAGACACGTTTAGTTATACGATAACATGTAAATAATATAATAAAATGATTTTAATAAACATATGCGAAATAAGAACTAGATTCAATGTCATACATGTCAAAATATAATGTGGCAAATGGCTGACATTCATATGACAATATCGATATATATTTTTCTTTGATTTTTCTCACTTCTTAGATCTTTTAGAAGAAAAAAATGTTCAATAAATCAATTTGTTTACCACGTCGCGCATCCCATGACAATTTTTCGTAGAAAGTAGTCATTGAAGATATCATCGAACCTTCTCAGATTCTAGCAAAATCTCTCAATTGTTTGTCATTTCAGTCATTATAATAAATTGTTTTAATGACGGTGTGGTGTTTAAGGATGGATGTAAAGATGTTTAAATAATTTTTAATGCATATATTCACTTCTTATAAACAGTTGATGACACAGTAAATTATAAACAAAAGTAGAGAAAAGAAAGGAAAAAGAAGCTCTAAATGGACAATGGGATATATAAGATGAGCTATAAAATATCAATAATATTTATGAATTGATTTCATTCATAGAGCTTCAAGTGGCTGATAATTATATTAAAATATGAATTAAGTGGAAGTTATTATGGGAAGTTTTTCATTCGTACGAAATGTGATACACAGATTTAAATTTCATTTTTAATGCTTTGTAACTGCTTTAAAATTATTTTTGCAAGTTCTCGTGATAAAAATGACAAATTGTTTAATTAATTATAGAAATTAAATCACCTTAGTGGTCTAAGTCGATGCGTCGAGTGGAAGTTTGGATTGAGTATTTTAAGGCCAGGGTTCAAATCCCAGTTAATATATCATATAGGAATCATAACTATTTCGGCTAGTTTTAATAACGATTGACTTTTCTTTTTTTGAAAAATTGACGAAAACTGGATACAAAAGGGGTCATTCAAGTATGACGTCTATGATTTAGGTGGTGAAGGGAGCTTAGAACTTTGTAACAGCTCAAACAAAAGATAAAAAAATATTTTAAGGATCAATAATTAAAACCTGAAGCTTTGC